TTTTACTTTACAGAAAAACCTCAAGAATACTACTTGAAAATTACTCATACTATTAATTAGTCAATCACTTCATATATTTCAGTTAGTTTTCAATAAAGAGTAAAATATCTTGGGTGAAAGTTAAAAACATTTCATATGTCACTAGCTCAAAATGACCAATGTCTGGAATAACATTTATTTGGAATAATACTTACATAATGCTTATTATCTGCCAGACACTATCTTATTTAAATACATAACTTATTTAATATTCTCAAGTTACTCTTACTACACCAGGCTAGATAACTTGCATATACAGCCCATAGTAAGTGGCATACTTGAGATTCAAACCCATGTGGTGGTTAAATAACCACTATTTTATCCTACCTCTTGAGGGAAATGATTCAACCGGGGTCTGCTATGCATTTGAAAGCCACTGTTTATAAACTATAAGCATTCGGGGTTGTCAAATGTGAAAACTTTTTGCTAATTATGAGAGTGAATGTGTGAGTTTCAAGAAACTAAAAAGGAAAGTGAGCATAACAAATATGCCAAAAGATCACACAGTATAAATGTTAAGGGCTGAGATGGTGGCACTTAAATACTTCAGTTGTGATTTCATCCTGAGATTACTCTCATTCGAAACACACACATAAAAAAGCAAACAGTCATATTTACCATTCAAGGTCATACCATTTAAATTATGTACATACACCAAAAACTACAGTAGCATCATCCATAAATAATGCTCAAAGATAATTGTCTCATTAACCTGGTTCCAAAACATTAAAGATGTTTTATTCTAAAATAATTAACTGGTCAAATTGTTCTAACAATCTGATTGTTTATTGGTCAATAAAATTCACATACCTTATATTTTTATGGAGGCTAAGTCACCTTTATTGGCGAAAATTTGACATAATTTTGCTTTTACCTTTCCAAATAAAAAGCAGCATAGAGGTTTAACTGTATGATACTAGCCTGAAGTCAGTCAAGAAGAAAGCATGACTCTTAATAAATGTGGATCTGCTTTCCTTTGAAAGCAGCTTTGAAAGGAGCAATAGGAGGGAGAGCAATGTACATCTCTAGAACTGAATTTCAAAGGCCTTATTTGGCCCTTCTTCCACATGGGAAGAATTAGAAAACTTTTTGCCTTTTATTTTCCATTGTAAGATCCTAAATGGGAAAATAAGTCCAGGCTATGTAGGTCTCCATGTGGGATTAGATGCAGTAGCAGCCATAGTGCAAGGAATGTAGGACACAATGGTCTATGTAACTGGCTGCTGTGAACTGTAGTGGCAAACTTTAGAAGAAAGAAAGAAAGAAAAATCTTTACCACTTCAGCACAGATCTCAAAATCCCTTGCAGACACTTCCTTCAACTGGGTCTGCTGCATTAATGAGATCATGGAACAGAACTGCTAATTTAGAATTAAATGCTTTGGTGAGGAAAGCATTATAAACTAAAAAGCCAGAGTTTATAAAAAAATAATTGGATGTGACAATAAGTGGTATTTTTCATATATGACTCATCACTGTGTGGATTAAAAGCAGCTTAAATTAAAAACGGAATCCCTTGAATTTAATTAAATGGCTTTTAGAAATGGTTTTAAGGACATTTAAATAATGTAGGAAAATTATGATACATTGACTTTGTCTAGTATGTCTTAAAACCTACTAGTTCACTTCTTTTAAAATTATAATTTAAAATTATGACAACTAAAAGAATTGTTAAATCACTGTGTTGTATACCTGAAACTAACACTGTATGTTAACTCTACTGGAATTAAAATACAAAACTTAATAAAATTTTTAAAAATTTTTAAAAAATAAATACAGTGCTGAAAAAAAAATAAGTAAAAGTAAAAATAAAATAAAATTATTACAACTGTAATGTCAAATTAGCCAAACAAGTAAATAAAAATTGAGTAAACAGTGCAATTTTATCTGGTGCACTTTTTATCAATATTCTTGTTATTTAAAAATCTCCTTTTCTTTGGAAAATCTGCCTTAGTTTACCTGATTATGTATGTAGCTTCTATATAATTCCCAGTGTTTAAATGAATATTCAGAAATCAATTATCTCATCCATATTTTAAAAATACAACTTCTGAACAAACCATGTTAAAGTTTTTCAACTATGCTCATTTACTGACTCACTAGAAATAAAAATACTTAACCAAGAGCTTCTAAATATTTTTCCAGCAACTGAAATCTGTAGTGAAACCCAAGACACACAGGCACCATTATCTAACATTCTGAAAATTTCACTTTGCTTACAATGATAAATAAAATAAAGCTATCTGTTCTTTGACAAGGGAAAGAATGATTTCAACAAGGGAATAGTTTATATGAATCACCATATTTAGAGAACATACAAGAAGATTAGATTTTCTATGACAGTTGAGTGAGCATTGTTTTTTTCTTTTTTGATCAGTCAGGATGTGAATCAGGTTCCTGAGGGGGCTCTGTGAACATCATTACAAGCATCAGTCATCAATGACCAAGTGAAGCCCAGAACTGAGAGTTAATAAAGAAAAGAGATTTTTCCCTAAATATATCACTTTATATTTGTATATTCCATGAGTTCTAAAATCAGTACTCTTTATATTATTAGAAGTTGGGTGATCAGAGACTACCTTGGATCAAATCATTGCAAGATTTAAATGACATCCAGTCCAGGCCCCATCTTACATGGAAATCATGACATCTGGTCATGTTTGCCTTTTCATAAAGACCCCGAATGATGGGGAGCTCATGAATTCACAATATAGCCCACAGATTTTTGGAAAGTTATACAAGAAAGCTCATCATCATCATCATCTGCTTCTCTCTGTTTTAGAAAACTCATCTTCTTAATGTAGGCAAAGATGCTTCATCCTTTAAAAATGTCTATAAATTTACCTTAGTTTTGCCCTATGGAAGTTATCACAGGATAGTCAAAATTCCTTTTCTTATTTGATAGTTTTTTCGTATTTAATGATAGCTTTCATGCCCTTACTTTTCCAAGTTAAGTCTTACTACTGGATTTTATGGAATATACCTATAATACCGAATAATCTTCTTTCTTTTTTGGACACATTCTTGCTGCTAGAGTTACAGTTTGCCAGGGTCCATCTCAAAATGCAGTGCTCAGAAAGAATACAACATTAAATTGTGGTCATCACTGCAAATTATACTAAGACAATCATCTCCTTCATTAGGATACTATCATTAGTCCAATTTAACAACACATTAACTCTTGCTGCCACTTACCACTACAAATACCTAGCTTCTGCGAATAAAAGCATGGTCATTAATTGTGTGGTGGATTTCCTGGACTCAAAACCAGAACTTTACATTTGTAACTACTGCTGTAAGATAATATCATGACATTTAATAAGTTAACATGAATCCCTATATTTGAGCCTCTGGTATGTTATCTTGAAAAATACCAAGATATTCTATTTGCCTTCCTACCTAACTTATAAATCTTCAGTTCCATACAGTATTGAGCTATGTTGACCTACAAATCAATGTTTACGTGAGGCCATCTCAAGTCATCAGTTATTAATACTCAAGAATCCCCAATGAAAATGTTTCCTTGTATGGTAATTGACATTTAAGAAATTTTGCCCGAGACTTCTTTTTCACTTGTTTACTTTTTAAACTGGTTTCCTAAAGAACATCTCCCTAAGAGTGTTTCTTGATAGTTGGTCATGCAGTAAGATTAAGTGGTTGTTCAAAATTCAGACAATGGCATGCTCAATTTTATCTTTGAGGCAGGACAAACATGTAAAATCATCAACAAGAAGCCTTTAGTCTGATATGAATTTGCACACATACATACACAGCGCACATGAAATGTGCGTTTGAGCTAACAGTACATATACGAATCACAGGAGGAAAACAAAGATGAGCCAGCTACTTTATTCTAAAGTTGTTCTCTTCCCAAGAAACTTTTATCTCCCTCTTCCCTCCTTCAGAACCTATTTTCCCTTCAGCAAAAACAGAGTTAATTAGAGTTCTGCAAGATCCCAGTCTCCCTAAGTCCCCATCACAGCCTTCAAGTGAGGCTCATCTAAGCCAGGTTGGAGCTGAGGGAGCCTGAGCTGTAACCAAGCGGCTTTTCCATGCACCTCCTCCTCAGAAACACACCCCTCAAATCGGAAGCCAAAAGAGAGTCCAACCACAGAGAACTTCCACTCAACAAGGGCAACCCCTGAGGAGAGAACATTCGGGTAACCATTTCTCTCCTCCCGACCCCCAACACCAGAACCCGCTCCTAGTGCCGCGCCTTCTTCTCGAGCCTTCTCCCGCCGGCCAACTCGGGGTGAGCGCCCGGGTTAGTCAGTGCGCACGTGACGCGCGGTGCCCACATGACACGACCGAGGGCGGGGGAGGGGACAGAGGAGCGAAGCAGGGAAAAAGTTAAGGAAGACCCGTCAAAGCGCCCAGGGCAATCTGTCCCTTCCCTTCTTCCTCAACTAGTGGCTCAGGGAGGGATCCTTCGGGGATGGCTGCGGACCAAGGCGTCTCAGGTCCAGCGCCCCAAAAGGGGGGCGTAGTTCTCCGCCCGCCTCGCCACCCTCTGTTCCTCCCCACCCTGCTGGTGATGCCGCTGCACCCTCAAGTTGTTCCTTCCTCCCCTTTTCTCCCTCCCTCTTTCCTTGCTTCCTCCCTGCCTCCCTTCCTCCCTTCCCTAAAGGCTCTTCATCCACTGCGGGCTAAGCCACTGACGCACATTCAATTTGCCCCGGCAGCTGGCCCGCACCTCTGAGGTCACACAAGGCCAAACACCTTCCAAACTGGAGGGTCTAACTGCGCAAAGTTGCACGCCACACCGCAACCTGCCCCTCCCTTCCATGTAGCAGCCCCGTTCGGATCCCCTGCAAAGCTCACTTGCTCTGCCGGTACTCTCTCGACCTCACCCACCGTCGCGCCACACACCCCCTTGCACACGCGAGAGCCCACCCTTCCACTGCTCTGCGCTTCGAGCCGTCCAGCCGCCTGGCAAAGCACCGAGCAAGCCGCTGCGCTCACCTTGTTTGACACACTTGAGTCGGAGGGGGTCCTTGCAGTGTTTGATCACGGCCAGCACGTCCCTGATGGTGAGCCCCGCCACGGGGGTCTCGTTCACTTCCAGCAGCAGCTCCTCCGACACCAACTTGCTGCCGCTCTCATAGGCCACCTTGCCGGGCTTCACCTCCCCCAGGTAGGGGAACTGTCCGTTCTCGGCGCCCCCCTTCAGTTCAAAGCCCAGCTGGCCCTCCGGGTTCCTGCCAATGACACTCTCATGGACTTTGCTAGTCCAGTGGCTTTTCTTTTTCAAGCTTTTGGACATGGCAGTGGGGTGAGTCGCCTCAGCTCCTGAGGGGTTCCTTTGGGGTAGGGGAGTTGGTGGTGAGAGAACGAGGATGGAGGAGCGAGGGGGCCAAGAGGTGAGAGCAGACTTTGCCTTCCTCCCCCTTCTGTTCGGTGCTCTCCCTCTTCTTTGGATGGAGTGTGGATGATGAAGGGGGAGGATGAGAGGGACGGCTGGGCAGAGGTAGGAGAGCTTGGGTGAGGTTGTGCTGTCCCTTGAATGACACTCAAGGCTGTGGCCCCGCAGCAGAGGAGAGCTGTGGTGGCGGCGGCGGCAGCGGCGGCGGCAGCCTGAGCGAGCAGTAGCCGAGCGGGTGAGCGAGTGGGGTGGGGGTGGGGAAGGAGGGTAGGGATGCCGGGGGCCACCCCTGCGTGGTGCGAGTGGGAGCGCGCGCGCGCCTGGGTGTGTGTTGTTAGCTGATATCCATGGTAGCTGCAGTGGCAGCGGCAGGGTCCGTGTGTGTGTGTGAGTGTGTGTACTAGTTGTACTGTACTGGCAGGAGGGGAGGGGGCAGGGAGGAGGGAGCAAGCTGGAGGGGGAGGAGGGGCGCGCGCGCGCGCCGGGTGGGGAGCCGCTTCGCCACTGTCTCCGCTCCCTCCCTCCGCAGCTTGACCCGGTAGTGAAGGCGGAGAGAGAGGCAGGCTGGGTCCGTCTGGCAGCCTACGAGAAGAGGCGGGAGCGGGAAAGGAGGGGAGCCGAGGCCCGGCGTGGGGAGGCCGGCAGGAAGGGCTTCGAGCCCTGTGCGGACCTTTTTTCAGCCTCCAAGCGGCCGCGCGGCGCGCTAAGCTGCTGCGCCGTGAGGACGCCCCGACTTCCTCCAGACTAGCGCTCGGCAGGAGCAGAAATAGCGAGAACCTGGACTTGCGGCGCGCCCCCGTGACCGCGGCTTTGGCGGGAGCGCGGCGAGCCCCCTGGCGCGGGACCCTGCAGTGGGAAAGCCGAGCTGGTGGGACCCCGTGGACCCATGGGGGAGGCCTGGGCGCGGCGCGCCGGGTGGAGGCGGAGGAGTCCTCTGTTGAGAGAGGCTTTGTCTCCTCACGTTTTCAGTCAAACTTGTCTCAAAGAGTTCTCAGAATTCCTCCTCCGAGGAGCGGAAAGTTAGGGAAGTGCAGTCTGGTTACCCAGACAGCGGGGAGGCAGAGCATCACTTTGCGGGGTGCAGGCCCAGCCCGCGCGTCGGGCCGGGATGGGAACTTCGCCGAGGGGAGGAGTTGTCCGGTGAAAGGCGATTCCAGGGAACGTAGGGGAAGGGGCTTCACTTTTCCTTGTTAGGAGACGCTGAGCGCAGGGGCCCGGGGGGTGGGGCGGGAGAACGAACGGTCGCCTTGAGCAGCCCCCTGGGCGAAGAGGGCTGTTTCCCCCGGGGAACTGCGGCGGAGACGGCTGGGGCACGTCCTCGCCCAGGAAAGTCTCAGACTCGGGCTTGTACCTTAGGAAGAAACCTTAAGATGTCCTGGCCTGACACTTCGTGCTCCAGAGAAAGAAAAGACGGCTCGGAGCGAGCTTGAACACCGCGGCAGACCCCGGGCTGGAACTCAGCTCGCAGGCCCACCACCAAGGCTCCTTTCCCTTCACCAGGTTTGCAGCCAGGAGGAGAGGTGAGGACAGGGGCGCCAAGAGGCCGGAGGGCTGCCGATTTTCACTAGAGCGCTAATTTTGTGTAAGATGTTAGGAGTGACTTTTTTTTAAAATTCCTGTAACTGGTAAATGAATTTCATTTGCTTTATTTCCAAATGATACGTTTGAGAAAGAAAAAAAAAAGAAAAGTCGCACACCCACTCTTCTCTTTAAAGCAAAGCTTGAAAAGCACTGAGCAGTTAAGATTTTCGATGTCTGAGATGAAGAGAGTGTGGGAGTGAAGTACAGTTAAAAACGTGTAGCCCACCCAAACAGACCAGATTTGAATTCAGGCTCTGCTGCTTACCAAGAGTGTGATACTGAGTTAATTGCTTGACCTTTGTGAGCTTCAGTTTCCTTATTTGTTAAACAGGGTTAAAAGTACTAATTTGATAGGACCGTGTGAGGCTGAATCAGGTAATGCACGCAAAGTGCTTGCCTGGCACAGGTGGGTAGGCGCTCAAAATAGTGATTTCCTTCCTCTTTTCCTCTCAAGTATAGCTCACTATTTGGGGAAGAGGGGGATCAAATTTAGTCAGAACTAGAAGAGATCTTAAACATGAATTATTTAAACATGTGTCTTTTTTTTTTTTTCCTTTGAGAAGATGGATCCCCACTGAGTTGGCTCCCGCTGATGAAGATTATTCAGTGAGCCAGGGGCAGTGCCAGGATCTGAAACCAGAACTGAAGGCAATGCCTAGGAAGGGGGAAGGCTTTTTGGCGCATAGCCCAGGCTCACCCAAACAAGTTGGGTTTTAGCATTATGAGATACAGACCTACATAGAAATGAAAAATGAGAACTGAATATGTATTTTTCAAACACCAGTTACAAACTGACATGAGCGGGTAAATACTAATATATATCAAGTTCTAGCCACGTGCCAGATGTTGTACTATAGGCTTTACAGTTGTTTCTCCCAACATCTTAATAAAGTAGGTATTATTATCATCCTCTTTTACAGATAAGGAGACTGAGGCAATACAGAGATTGACTTTTGCAGCACTGCAAATTTAATCAGTGCTGAAGCTAATATTCAGACCCAAGTGTTTTGGCTTCAGACCTGGTGTCATTCACTGCATTGTACTCTCTTCATGCACTTAACCATGTGTCATTCCAGTGATCAGTACATAGTGTCCCCAGAGGTTGGGTCTGCATTTTATTGTAGGGAAAATTAGGGAAAAAATGGAGTAGGAGTTTGGCATAAAAGCATTTCCCCCTCAAGATCTCAGCATAGTCATTGAGGTATGTGCCAACAGTTTAGTGCTTCTCAGCTCCTTATTCATCTTATTTGCCCTGAATTGTGATATTTAGAGCTGGAACCTTTAAACATTGCTTTGTTCTCAGTTGGCCCAATGTTAGGACTTGTCAGTAGAAGGTGCTGGAGGGACACTGCATAAAAAGAGAGGCCTCTTCTCCGTACCAGTGCTTTTCTTCTTGCTCCTATAGTGTGGTCAGTGAGTGGCTTTCTGGCCAGTGATGTGTAAGAGACCAGTGTTTGACTACCCTTCAGTGACTTTGGCTGGTTCCCCAGTGTGTGGCTTTCTAATAAGCCTTACTGGCATCCCAGTGGGTGGATTCCTAGCAAGTTTCACTGACACCCCAGCTGGTGATTTCCTCACCAGCCCAATCTGTGACACCTCAACGAATTTCATTTGCCATCAGCTGGGCCACAGCCACATTATCTCCAATAAGATCTGTCCCCCTGTCTTAGTAGCATAGGGGACAGGGATGGGGAGAATGGTTCTTCTAATTTATTGCCTAAGTTATTCGGTACTTTCCCACAGCCTGGGAGGTACTGGCTGCTCCCTAAACCACTACTCCTGTATTTGTTAGTGATCTCCTCTCTTAGTAGTCGCTCACCTTTTACTAGTTAATAATTCCTTATATTAGCATTTTCCTCTGTCAGTTATTGTGTTATTTCTGGCTCCTGCCTGGTTCTTGTCTTCTGTGGGTGTAAAGGGATCATGTAGAACCATCTGGGGACTTAGAAATTGGGATGCTGCCTCTAGCTATACAACTTGGACTAAGTCACTTAACCTCTCAGAATTTGTTCCCTCATCTGTAAAAAAAAGGTGATAATATATATAACAAGGTTATGTTAGTATCATTTAAAATTTGGATGCATTTTAAATGCATGAAAAAAATTTACATGTATTCTGAGGACTTGTTGGGTTGTTTCCTGCGAGTAAAAAAACAGCATTTTCTGTCAGATATATTGTCATCAAATAAATTGTTGGTTAGATGCCTTTGCTAACTTTTCAGGGACAAAAGCACATAATTGTGAGTCCCAAGTTGTTCAGGTTTCCAGCGCTATGAAAAACATGACTGAAATTATAATCATTTTAAAATGCTAGATTCAGACTAATTTGATTACTTTCTATTCTGGTATCCTTCACATTTGCTTCATTTCTTCTTGTCTTCTTTACCCTTTCTGGGTTTGATGCCTGTGTCAAGAAAGAATTATTTCATTGATGAGCACTCTGTGCAGAATATGGCACTAGATTTTGCATGCTATTAAAAAATAGTTTAGCAATCATAAAAACTGAAGAAAGAAAAGCATTCTTAGCACTTTTCACATTCTCTAGCACAGTGTAAATGCTCAACAGAATTCTACCTGATGACAGATATGTCCAGAGCGATAGTGTATAAAATTTCATTGTATGACTACCACCTTAATACGAATCTTTATCTTTAATACTAAATGATTATCTCTTTACACTCATACTAATGTCTTAAGGAAATGGAATGCAGAAGAGCACATATTGATGAAGAAAAGACAGAGTACGCTTAGCAATGAGGCTGACGTTAAGAAAAGAAGTCAGATTCTTCAAGAGCTTGGGACGGTCTGAGAGGTGATACTGGTGATAATAATGGCAATGGACGATAAACTTGACCCACTCCATAGTTTGTCTGTGGCCATTCCTATTATTAAACCTCCTTTCACTTCGGCATCATTATTCACACACAAAAATGCTAATCCATATTTATAAGGTAGATTTATTTAGCATAATACTGAGCTTCTCAGACTTTTCTATCAAAATATCTCTAACAATGATATACTCACCCACCCCCAGCCAAGAATAATCTTATTTTTTAAGAGTAATCTTATTTGAAGTCTCTAGTTTTTATCTAAAAATTCATATGATTTTTCTACTCTGTAGTCAGTTCGTATTTATATGGATATAAAATATGATTTTTCTCCCAACTTTGCCTCAAAGATGTTCCAGGAGGATTATCTATGTTTATCTGCTCGTTTCTTGGCCCAGCCTGGTAACTGCATGGGTATCTACAGCTTAAGTACAGTGACTGAATATACAAGCCCAAGTTCTGGGGAGAGAATTTGGGCTATAAAGATAGATAT